ACAACGGAAAACTCAGCAAGGCATTTGGAATAAACACACGAGTCGGACAAGGGTGATTATTATCACCGATGATGATATTCCTAATTGTGGTGGACTGGATTATGCGTCAGACAGTGGGAAACGAGAAGACAGGGATATCCTGGACGGACGTGAAGAACCTAGAAGACCTGGATTTTGCGGATGATTTATGTTTGATGTCACACAAAATCGAAGACTTACAAGCGAAAACCGACAAACTGGCTGAAGAAGCAACAAAGACAGGACTCTAGGTGAACAGAGACAAAACGGAGGTTATGAAAATAATCAACCAACCAACAACAACAGCAGAAACATCCAGCGCCAATCACCATCAACGGGAGGGATTTGGAAGAGGTTACTTCATTCACTTATCTAGCTAGGGAGCATTGTCTCAACCACAGGAGGAACGGATGAGGATGTCAAATCGAGAATCGTAAAGGCGAGAAACACATTCATCAACCTGAAACCAATCTGGAAATCTTCGTCGCTCAGCTTGTATCATCAACCAAATTCGGATTTTCAATACAAACGTCAAGTCAGTCAGTTCTTCTATACGGATCAGAAACTTGGCGAATCACAAAGAATATTTATAATAGGATGCAGACCTTTATCAACAACTGTCTTCGCTCAATACTGAAGATCAGATGGCCGGAAAGAATCACGAACAAGAAACTATGGGAACAAACAAAACAAGAATCAATCGCCTAAAAATGTGTAGGAGAAAGTGGAGATGTAATAGAGAAGATTTGTAGCTCAGGTGGATGATTTTGGTGTGGTTGCGTTCTCTGAGCTGGATGGTTTGGTTGCGAAGCTTTCATTGCTCTACTGAGCAACATCTTCAGCGCATACTTCGATGTGAAGTATGCGCTGAAGATGTTGCTCAGTAGAGCAATGAAAGCTTCGCAACCAAACCATCCAGCTCAGAGAACGCAACCACACCAAAAGTGGAGATGGATTGGACACTCGCTGAGGAGGCCGTTGGGTGACATCGCGCGTCAGGCTAGTGCTCGAGTGGAACGCGAAAGGGAAGCGGTGAGTGGGATGTCCAAGGGTGACATAGAGGAGATCGTGTAAAGATACTGTATGAAACAGTGTGGACTAAGATGGATGCAGGTGAAAGTTACAGCAGAAGACAGATACAAATGGAGACGTGCAGTTGAAGCCCTATGTTCCACTAGGAACCCAAGGGAATGGTAATAATATTAGCATATCAAAACACTGCACAGAAGCAGACATGTCTGTGTGAGACACATGATCGATTTATACATGCAAACAAAGTTTTATCACAATTAGTAGCGTTTATCTGCTCTTCAAGTCAATCGGCCATTTGACGTATTCAAATTTAAGACCTTAATGAGATGGAGCGAAGCAAATTATCGCGACTGTAGTAAACATTGCACAACATTCGAAAGTCTTCTATAACATCGGACGCTGGAAGATGGCTTCAAGTTTAAACCGCAGGAAAATATTGAGACTGGCTGAAAGAAATTAATGTCCAGTCAGCAGAACTCAGATTGACTTCTGTTGAAACAAAGAGATTAAATTCCGGTGAAAAATTTGATAAGTTAGGGTTAAATCACAACATATATCCTATTATGGAACTAAATTAATAGCAGCTGACAAGTATACTCAGTGTGTGAATGCACACAGTTACTGTGGTCAGTGTAATTTATTATGAAACCATATTTCCAGTTTGTAGTACTTTTGTTGTCCGGCAGGATGAGCCAGCTACCGATTTCCATCAACTGACATTAAGTTATTACTAAACGTTGATCAGAAGGATTAAGTACACCATATTAACCCAGTGTCCCAGTTTCTATCATATCTGACTGTAACGGAATGCTCGTTTTGAAAACCCTCCTGGACGAAGTATTGACAATAATAACACATACTCGGATGTTTCAAATAACTTTGAGATTATTATGCCTTATCTCCTACCATGTATATCACACTCCTAACACCTGTGTCGTTCTGGTAACAGTCTATCCGGAAGTGCTCAGACTACATCCCACATAAGATCGAAGACAGAACCATCAGATAACGAGGCGACATCGTTGATTATTCAACTATTACGACTGAATCGAATGGTTGGTGAATTCTAACATCTGTCAATTGGCTATCAGCTGACTACAGAGTGACATTGTCTGGAATTCCAGTCGAAAATCGCAAACAGTTAGGTACAACAAGTTGAGTGTGAAGAAGAATACTTGCTGATGTCTATGTCTGTTGGTGGCGATAGAATACGCAGATCGACTAACTAAGCAAAAATTTAGCCAGACATTGGACTCGGTGCAACTGCTTCAATGAATGATGAGTACGTCACGAGGACGGAAGGTGCTGACTACGACGGATTCATGGTACAAAACTAGCCGCTTCTTAAGGACTAAAATCATTACACATTCGGTCTACCGAAGGTTCGCCAACCAACCATATGATCCGCGCCTCAAGTTCCGCAAGACACACTCTTAAATCTTGCTCCGTTTGTTAGTCAATAGTTTTTTCACGAAGGAGTGGAGGTGAGGTGAGGCGCAGGGATAGCCAGGCCGTCTGGTGAACATTTGCACAGAAACAAACAACAAGCAGTGGAATGAATGAAGAGCATTTCATTCAGTGGAAGATTCAAGCCTACATCAACGACTTCATACAAACACACACACACGCAGACACAGCCACTGCCATTCGTTTATGTGACACCGAACATGAAGTGTATGCAATGCATACCATGTTGTGATTTCTAAAGAATACTTGATGCATTATAGATGGATTGTCTACAGAGTTTTGTGAAAAAGCGGACTTGGTTGTTAACTTCAAAGACTTCAACTCACGATTGACTGGTGGGCGTTCACAAATATCACCAGTAGGCACAGAACTAACAGGGAGCAACCATCTCTGGGAAACAATAGGACGTTTAAAGATCATGAATTTACTGAAATCCACATGTGATCCCAACAGTTGCAATTAAAATGGACCATAAGAATGTGCTCACGCCTTAACTGCAGAATGTAGTGAGGTAAGTACGCGTACCTGCCTACTGAACGAAATGCTACATTATCAAACTGGCAAAGACAGGCGACTTTTTTCTAACCTACCTGACGAGATATCATAGCCCTATCGACATGATACGTCGAGGTGTTAGTTTTGGTGCTGACTCGACCGTATTGGTGAGGTTTGTGATGAGGTCATTAAATGGTGTGATTCACCATCGTGAAGCGAACCATGAACTGATGCGAGTTAGTTGAGGGCAGTCAGCAGAACACTCTGAATCCACACCCACATATTTGAAGACTGTGATTTCTTACAAAATCTTTACCGATCCGCTGTGAAATATTTTGAAGGCTTAGGTAGGCATAAGAAGTAGCAAACTGTCGGTTTAGTTAGCTTCCTTGTGACCACCGCTTCATACCATCCGATGCAAAACTCATTCATTTTCTTCCAGTATAACTGACTGCTGTTGCATGTGCTAAATGGAAAACGTACAATGATCCTGAAGCAAACTCTTCAAACTGGATATTTTCCGGTGTGGTTTACGTGATGACAGCACCTCTGAAACATTCAGGATTGCGCATAAGCCTCCATCAGTCGTTCTTATAAGACAACATGAAACACTTAGCGGAAAATGCAACGTTTTGCATGTAATTGCAACCAACTGTAATGTTTTCTGATCTCTATCAACTGATGTTAGTGAACTTTTGACGACTGTTGTAAATCGCTGATTTCAGCCTAGTAGTTGGTCTTCACATAATAATGGCAAACCGTGAGTTTGCTTTCTCCGTTTTTCGAGGTGAACGTGTAAGTGGGGCTCCGGGATATTTGAGGATTTTATGCAGAATGTTTGGCCTACAGATAGCGAGTGCTTCATTTCTCTCATGTCTGTTTGGAGGTCAACAGCACTTAGCATGGAAAATATAGATGGAGATTCACACCTTCAATGTGATGTCAGTGCTACTACACGGATCAGAGACCTGGCGCCGTGTCAAGAAGGCCGCTTCGAGTTAACTGCAGACCTTCATCAACAGCTGTCTTCGCTCAATACTTCGATCAAATCAGATGGCCAGAAAAATCAGCAAAATCAAGGGATTTCGGGGAGCGAGCCAACTCAGCGGGGACCAAGTGTGCAACAAATATGCGAGAAGCAGTGGAGGTGGAATGGCCATACTCTGAGAAGGCAAACCACCAAGTGAGCGACATCACACGCCAGGCCATCACTTGAATGGAACCCGAATGAGAAGTGGCGAGGTGGTCGACAGTGTAAGGATGACATGCAGGAGGAGGAGATCATGTGAAAAGGAGATGAAAGCATGTGAAGAGACGTGGAGCCAGGTGAAAACGTTTACTGAGAACCGAACGCAATGGAGATGTGCGGTTGAAGCCCTATGTTTCATCAGGAATTAAAGGAAACAATAATAGTAAGGAAGAACTCCGAACAGACCGTCGACTGACACAACACGCCACAACCTCAAGTGAAATGTGAATGGGAATTAACGACTTCGATTTTCGAGGGCAACGTGAGCAAGATCAAGTTATGGGAACTGATGACTTTGTGAGTATAGTGAGGATAAGTCAATGAAGCACTTTATTGCACTCGGAACGCGAGGAACGGATAGTCTTAACCAATTGTCATTTGTGTCATTCAATCAAACTGATCAGTTGCTGCTCCACAAGACAACTTACCGCGAAGTATTTCAACATTTCTTATAAAACATATCATTCATCCTAATAATGTTTGCATAAACTCACAAATATCACCGAACATTAAGAATACAGAAGTCAATTGTGCATTTTCCAGTCAGCATTTTTATTCGAATTCATGTTTTTATCATAAAAATAGAAGATGGATATTTCTGTAACAGTCCGAATGTTAATATCTACCCAAGTGTGTATGTGTACACGTATGAATTTGTATCAGTGTGTTACTGTGTTCATGAATGAATGAATGAATGAATTTGTGATACATTAGAAGACAAATGGAATTCAGTTGGTTTCGGTTTTGACTTCTTCTTAGTTAGCGCATCATCTTCAGCGACCGAATCTGTAATCAAAAATAAAAGAAGCAATAGTATCAAAAAATGTGCGTGAATTGAGTAATGCGATTCAAGTGGTATTCAAATAGATGATAAGATTGATTGAATTCTACTGCAGAAAACGTGGGAAATTGTCTAGCTTGCACTAACACAGATGAGTAATAATGAATGTAGGATCTGTATTGGACTAAAGTAGCTCGTGAACGCAACTGAGATTCAGCCACTCCACCTCCACTAATCGATTTGTTTACCTCTACTGACCGCGAAGAGATGCATTCTGTAAAGTGTTATTTTCCGAGTACTTGGAGTGTGGTGGCTATAGTGTACTTAGTTAGCGCACTCACTTGATCTCTACATTCGCCTGTACTAAACTGCATCCTATGACATATGTCGGTCTCATATTCCTCTTTCAATGGGCTGATGTGAAGTTAGGAGCAGGCTTTACATCAGATAGGGGTGGTTTATTCTGTGAACTCAAATAGTATTCTGACCGAAACTCAGATGAAGCAAAAGAGATGATGACACAGTGATCAAGCAGATTGTTTCTAGTTGACGTGGAAAGGCGAACGAGTTCTTAAGATTTCAAGTAGTGGCCTCCGAGAGATCTAAGTCGATTTCATTATTTCTAAGTGGATTCACATCCAAACTTCATAAGTAGTCGACAGTAATATTCTCCAAGAAGATAGTAAGAGGAAGAAAGCCTGTTGCTGGTCACTGGACAGTAACACAAAGTCTGTTCAATCAGTATTTTGTGCTTGAGACACAAGCAGTAAATATTACTGTTTGATCCAGTGAGATTTTACCGAATAAATCAACTCTGCTGAATGATTCTCTTCACCTGCTAACAACCTAGAAGTCGATTATGTAAATGTGCATGGTCTTTTGTCATACTTGCAAGGCTCAACAGAGACACATGTCAATAAACAATGTTCACACGTTCCTCTTGTATAACCTATGGAGAAATTCAAGTTCCAAATTTGAATGTTTCACTCTATTCAGGCTGACATCCATTATCAAGCTGAGCTATTCATATACTGAAGATCATCTGTGCACTTGAATTCAGAAAACAATTATCATTGACACACTTGGTGAATACGTCAGTGAGTTGCGGGATACTGAATGCTGCTGTTGTTGTGTATGTACGTACGTATGTATGTGAGTGCGTTTGTGTGTGTGTGTGACGGAGACAATTTAGTAAGTAGCTTCATCATCTACTGAAGATCTTTACTTAATTGGCTAACAATATTTTGATGTTCTAAATACCTGGTGAGTGTTCAGGTTTGTGACACTTTGATAGCCTGTTATTCTGCGTTAATTTTCTTTTTGCATATATCACACACGGAGTGAAACAGTAGTATATGTCCTGGATGACGGATTTCCGAGCACAATTCACTCTTCCGATTCACATCACCAAATGTAACTGGACAAATTGGAACCGTTGCCTAATACTTTCACCTCACAATCACTGCAGAGTATTAGATAACCGAAATTATTGCGTCTAATGAGCTTCAAATAATATTGTTTCTTGAAAAGTGAGCTTCGAGTGTCGATGTCACTTTTACTGCTGCAATTGTGGCGATTCTACTCGAGTGTTTCAGAGCTCACTTCTTTGTACGGCACGAATCCTGGTGTGTTACCTCCCCCTCCTATATCTTACCGACACCTGTGAATTTTTCTCATTCATGCTGCCATCATAGCTTCTATCATCTTTATTCTTATTACCTCCCACATGCCTCTTGATTAATTTATCAGGATAATTACTGAGTGCCAGGGGTTTGCTTGCGTGCCTCACCTCCTATCGCAGACTGTCGGGATTTCAAAGCTAGCTAGTTCCTATGTATTCTACAATTCATCCTCCATGTAGAGTGTGGATTGACTACACGAATACAAACTGTTGAGAACATGCTGACAAGCATTTTGTGTAATCTCAGTAATTATCAAGCATCGGGGTGTACGCGAAGCTGTCTTTCAGGGTTTTAAGACATAGGTTGCCTTAAGAGTTTAATCCATACAAACTATTTAGCTGATACGCCAAGAGAGAAATCTCTTCTTGCATCAAATCCATTCGAAGTAGACTAAGTCACTGTTGCAAAACCACAACCATTTCTAACGAATTATTTGTCAAAACGAAAAAGAAAACTTGCCAGTATTTCCGACAAATACTAAACAGTTCAAATAAGAAAACATGATAATGCTGATAGAAAACAAACATTACGATTCACTCTGTGGACAATGAGGACTTACCTCGGACGACCAACAATGAAGTAATAATGACGCAATTTCTTTAAATAACTGTTTAGTTCTTTCATTGTTTTAAACTCTGCTGGCCTTTCTGGAGGTTTGAATTCCACTGATCTGGTTTCTTTTCTTTGAATGTTGTTATTATTCTTATTCTTATTGTTAAGACCATTGTTATCAAGTGGTGCATTTGTCGTCATTCTGTTAACAGGTCTATAGTCAATATCATCCTCGGAATTCTTCCATCTAGATGCATACATTTCGCCTTGCGCCTCACAGATAACAATACATAGTGTTAAGATATTGCAGTGGATTTGAAGACTTTTGAAAGTATTGACTTTGCGTGAACGCAACATTGTATAGATAGCTGGAAAATACAGTTTTATTTAGTGTAGAAAAAAAAAGACATTTCAATAAACAGGTTTCACATGAGAAATAAAACTAGGACAATCATAGCTGAATGAACAGGTCGCCGAACTATGAGAGACGCAAAACTGTCTCATTTCTGAGTTAATTTATTCACTTGAGTTCACAGTGGAACATAAAGGTTCCAGCTTTCAAGTTTCGGTTTGCGGTGTCGCTAACCGAACGCTTAATCTTCCCTCTATAACCGTCTTACTACCTGCTTGCTAAGCGAACTTTATGAGTGCGACGACCAGATATTGAACCACAAATCACATGAGGCGTGGTTGGCGACTTCTCTACTCACTGAGCCACCAACGTGATGTCTGCAGTTTCAGTAAGTCAGCAGGAAATATATATATGTATTAACAGGTTAACAAGGAGGTGATATGGTTCTCTCCTTTATCGCTGAAGCAGTCAGTGTGCAGATTGACGTCTCATCACACTGACATTTCAGTGTATTGAAGTCTAGAAGAAGAAATTATGAGCGTCGACAAGAAAACAGACACCTCAAATAGTGTGATTATCTTCGACTGGTAACATACTAGCCTTTCTTTGAAAGAATTCCTTCTGTGTACAATGAATGATGCCTGACTGGAATGGAGATACAACTATCTGACATCAATGAAACTGTTGGCGATTACACTCAAGTAGTGCGCATTCTATCCACTTGGAGTAATGACGAATTTGCTTCAGGCTTAGCGGTTTTATGTTCACTAAGCTAAACGTGCGTCAGTGGTACGCTGGTTAGTACTCTCGCCGCCCATGCACATTGTCCAGGGTTCGATCACCCACCGACGCACACCTGATATCAACTGGTCGGCCTGCAAACTTTCGGCTACCGATATCACATGCTGAAAATTCCATACTAGTACCAAAAGTACTGTGTGGAATCAAGCTGTAATCAAAAAAAGTAAAATTGTAGAGCTTTTTAGTCACCGATATAAATCCTTTAAGTTCTATTATATGGATCATAAAATGGCAGTGCACATGAAGAAAATCACTTCGAAGAGGCTACTGCAGACTTTAATTAACAGCTGCCACCTCCACGAGCTTTATACTGAAGAACAGATGAGCAGAAATGACTAGAAACAAGGAACTCTGAAAACGAACCATCCAACCAACAGCCTAAATAACAATCACGAAATTCTAAAGATTACTGAACAACGCAGAAACATTGATACATCAGAGACAGTGTCAAATTCAGTAAGTCAATCGAGTGACGTGCCTTAATGGAGAGGAGTGAGTAGGGCTGATGGAGAAAATCAAGGTTAGGCGTAGCTAAACTCAGTCAGTGTTATAGGGAGTAGAGGTGTGGTGATGAGCTGAATAAGAAGGTAGAAGTGACGTGTCAAAATGATTAAATGAACTGCCTACATGGTAACTTCAGTAACTGAAACACTCCTCTTCTGTATGCACAGCCCAGGATTTAACATATGGATTGTTATGAATTCTGTGGCTTGAAGTGACTTGCTTTCTAATGCCCTGGGCACTCCCTCTGATTACAACTGTGCAGGGTACATCCTAGTGAACATCCTGTTCACTGCTGTGACAATGTATTCTTGTACAGCTTGAGAGTGGCATTATTGACAACAGAAAACTCTTCGTTAAACACATCCCTTCTTCACTTTGCAGAAATTCACATCAAAAAAGCAGTGTGGCTTTCCTCATCACTTTTATATTTTTCGACTGAGACCGAGAGAGATCGATTGTCAGTTGTGTAGACTGAACAGGAATTTCATAATTCACCTACGTCTCAAAGTCATTAAGTCGATTGTAGTGTATTGTGAGCACAAGATATAATGATGAATAATATTCATGAAAGAGAAAATTAACCTGTTAACTTACCAAAGATGAGGAGCACTAACAGTATAGCAAGCACAAGTGAGGTTTAATTGCATGAATATTTCACAACGGCTTACATTTATATACCTATATATATATATATATATATATATGTATATAAAGTACTTTACAACTACTTACAATTATATTTCTAGATATTTCAACATCCCAATTAGTAATCAGAGTGCACACGCCTCTCATGAGATCAGTCACTGTAAACCAGATTCAGTGAAAGTTTGTTTTCTCTTTCTCATATTTCTCAACAAGATCTATTTTTGGTTTCTCTAAATTGAGGGAGAGTACATATCTCAATTCACTCAGGTATGTGTAGAGCAATTAAAATCAGTAACTCACTCCACACGACATTAACAGATATTGTAAATAATTGTAAATAATCACCTTTGAATGAGATACACACAAATTTGTTATGAGGCTTAGCCTCACTGCATAAATATTATCCAAGTAGTAATTTTAATTAAACAGCGACTTCAGTAAGTCATTCAGTGATATTGCTGAGCGAATCACTGAAGATGACGACAGCAATTCCCACCTAGTTTTGCACACTTCTGCAGTGTGCATCATTCACCACACATGCAGCTGTCGAAGTGAGCACCTTCAAGATACGTGACGTGCTCATCAGTCATTTAAACAGTTACACAGAGTCAAATTGTTGGCCTATTGTTTCCAAATTTTGTCAATCTGCGGATTCCACCGCAGAGGTCACTAATTGAGGTGATTCACCATGGTGGAGCAAACCGTGAAGTCATGCTAGTTATTTGAATTCCATCACTAGAACGCTCTGAATCCTCACTTACATATTTGCAGACTGTGACTTCTTACAAAATCTCCACTATTCCGCCTTCGTGTCTTTTGGTACTAGGCATTCAGCTAGGCCCAAAGGTGATGTCCTTCAAACTTCCTATTGTTTCCCAGAGGTGATTGTTTGCTGGTAGTTCTGTGTCCACTGGTGATATTTGTGAACGCTGACCAGTCATTCGTGAGTTGAAGTCTTTGAAGTTAACAGCCGAGTCCGCTTTTTCACAAAACTCTGTAAACAATCTAATTCCATCTACGATGCATCTAGTTTTCTTTAGAGTTCACAAAATGGTATGCACAGGATACACTTCATGCTCAGTGTCACATAAACGAATGGCATTGGCCGTGTCTGCGTGTGTGTGTTTGTATGAAGTCGTTGATGTAGGCTTAAATCTTCCACTCAATGAAAGGCTCTTCATTCATTCCACTGCTTGTTATTTGTTTCTGTGCAAATGTTCACCAGATGGCCTGGCTATCCCTGCGCCTCACCTCACCTCCACTCCTTCGTGAAAATACTATTGACTAACAAACGGAGCAAGATTTGAGAGTGCGTCTTGCGGAACTTGAGGCGCGGATCATATGGTTGGTTGGCGAACCTTCGGTAGACCGAATCTGTTATGATTTTAGTCCATAAGAGGCGGCTAGTTTGTTCCATGGTGAATTGTGCGCATACTGAGCTGGATGACCTCAGCTTATGTTTCGCATCTTGACATAAGCTCACAGAGAAACACAAAAGTAACTTCAGTTTCAATTCTCGAACTGCACACATGAAACTGAAATTCCACTCTCTTCTCATAAATTCAGAATAGGCCACAGAACATCAGCTGACTTCACTGAATTCTGATCTAAGATAGGATGACATTGCCTAGCCGAGAAGAGATAGAATCAGTGACTATCGAAAAAATAGATTTGAAGTTGGTCGTCTCCTTCACTTATCTGGGAAGTATCCTCTCTACCACAGACTGGAGAATTGAGAATCTGATGGCCACCCAGCAGGAGAGAAGGAAAACAGACTTTCGTTTCTCTCAAACCAGTATGGAAATCTATTGCAATCACCATAAGAAACAAAATCCTAAACTCCAATACCCTCCTTCTGTATGATTGGTGCGTCACATGAAGCATTTTCAACAAACTACTGCGCACCTAGATCAACAGCTGCCTTCACCGGACACAGACTACCAGATATTCATGGGGGATAAGCAACAAGGAACCACGACAACGAATCAATCATGAACATTCAACTCAAAAATATTCAGAAGAAAAAGGAGATGGTTTGTAAAAACGCTGATTAGACCATTTAGTGACGTAGCGCACCATGCATACCCCAGCGGGGATCCTGAATGGGAGACAACAAGTTTGGTGGGGCTGTGATTGTGACATGGAGGAGATCGTTTGAGAAGAAAATGAAAGCTTAGTAGTAACTGTGGATTCAGGTAAAAGAGCAGCAAAGGATAGGATAAGATGCATTGTGTGCTCCTGAAATTATATGTTCCACTCTGAACACAAGGGATGAATGCTAACCGGAATTCTTATCTTCTGTGTTATATTGACTGAGCACATTTCGGTGACACTCATGGCCTTTATCTGTGATAAAAACTTGACCGTATTACTTGAAAATGTAGTCACCGAGAAAGGAACGTTTCTTCTCTGGAGAAACCGCTTTTTTATATCTTATTAATGCATAAATGAATGAGTTTCGTGAAAACTACGGATTCGACAACAATGGCAGCGTCTTATTGATGTCAATCAAAGTATCAATTCCCACGACACTCAGCGTTGATCTTTGCTAGTCTGTTAGTCTATGGAGCAGTAAATAAACGCTGATTACACAATACAACACTGCCAATATATATGGTACTAGTTGAAACTATCTGGTCTGACCAGTTAAAGTGTGAATATGACCTTACAACGCGTTCGGATCATTTAAGAGCCCTTCGTATAGAACACGTTTAGGTCGCAGGTAATTATACGCGAACACAACTGTCATAAGTGAACACTAAATTTAGGAATGCATAAGGAGCGAAATTCAGTAGGCGAGGATTCCATCTCCATGAGGAATAACCTACCGCGATTCTCATAACACAATACTCGCACACTTCAAATGTACACTCCATAGTACAAATTTACAAGCTACCTGTCGTTTCCTTATCATACATTCCACTCACCATACTCTACCATTTTCAATCTTATGTGTGAT